CGGGCGGGCGGCAGAGAGAGAGGGACTTTTATTTGTCTGGGATGCTGAGGAAACCTTGCTTCTCATTCCGTATTTGAGGTAGTCACTGCAGACACTGAATTAGTGAATACGGACCCTTGCTCCCAGGGACTATAAAGGGTTAGGCTCCTTTGAGCCTCTGGTCACACATTTCTGTCAACCAATTAGTACAAAATTTTATGTTTCTTTTTTTTTTTAATGTTTTTTTCATTTATTTTTGAGAGAGTGAGAGAGTATGAGAGGGGCAGAGAGAGAGAGAGATACAGAATCTGAGGCAGGATTCAGGCTCTGAGCTGTCAGCGCAGAGCCCGACGTGGGGCCCGAACTCATGAACCACAAGATCATGACCTGAGCTGAAGTTGGATGCTTAGCCAACTGAGCCACCCAGGTGCCCCCTGTGTGTTTCTTTTTAAGAGCATTGCAGTTAGCGTGTATTGTTGATATATTAACATTGAACTCACAGCCTCAGTTCTGTGGGTCACACTTGAATGAAGATTACCTACGCAGTGTTTTCCCTGTGAGGCAACTTGGGAACACTGGATGGCTCTTTGGCACTGCACTTGGGGAGCGTTTTAAATAGCAAAAAGCACAAAAATGTAGAAAATGTGGCCCTAAGTAGACTGAACAGGACGCCTCACAGTGTAAGAGCTGAAACAAAATGGCAGAGGTCACCCTGTTCAGCTGCGGCTATGTAACCCCAGTGTTCTGCCACTGTGTACGTGTCTGCAAATGACTGTGGGAGTGTTTCATGTACTGATTTTGGGGTCACAAATGCATGTGACCGCATAGGTGAGTGTGTAGGTGTGGAGTCCAGAAGTGATGAGGAACAACTGTACTGGGGTCATTTGGGAGCCACCAGCTGCAGCATGAATGCTGTTCCGGTTAATCTCATAAATGTGTAGTGGGGCCAGTGTGCATGTTTGGTGGGATTTTCTTCAGGGACTTGGCACCAGAGAAGTGGAGGGTTGTGCTGTGCTCACAGCAGTGCCCTGGAGGCAAGCTGTCGTGCGGTTTGATGGGATGTCAGAAGCATCCTGGGAAGGAGCGAAATGCATTAGTTCCACGTGAGAACCATCTGAGGAGTTGGGTGGTATTTCATGATGACACCTGGGCCTCTCCCCAGACCTCAGCTGAAATCTCTGAAGACTAGGGCCTGGTACCATTGTTTTTTACAATATTTCCCCAGATGGGTTTAGTATACAGCCAGGTTTAAGAACCTTGAGTTAAAGCAAGGAAAAGGAGACTTTCTGCTTTTATCGTGGTGGCAGCATTGTGAAGAATGCATTCAAGTTGGAGAAGCACATTGGTCATACTGGTGCTCCTGATGGACCGAGGCAGACGGATCTCCGAGGCGTACGGCTAAGAAGGCGTCGTCGCCTATATGTTTGATGGGCTGTCAACATCGACATGAAAGGCACCAGTAAAGAAAGGTGATGGGGACCTTTGAATGGAGTGGAAAGGAGTCACCAACAAGCCTGTGGATGTTTGTGAAGTGTGGTGGATACTTAAACACTCCAGCGGTGACTACCCTAGATGTGACAGCCACAGGTGCCGAGAAGCTTGTGTTTTATGAGGCTAGCACTAACATGACTTAGTGTGAGTTATTTTATGTAAAGTTAACTTACGGATATCTGCAAAATCTTTTGCCGTCAACTTTTTGATCTTGTTGAATCGTGCGTAAAGATAGGCTGACTCCTTCGGCAAGGGTGGTACGGCATCAATGTCAACCTCCTCACAGTAGACAGAGCCGCTTAAACATACACACAACAGGCACGTGGGCATTTCTAAGTCGGGAAACAAAATCATAAAAATATAAACTGTAATTTAAAAACATTTGTGCTCTAGTGGTAAAATTATTGCTATCATGAGTTTTCTCACTAATCTGAAAAAATATTTTACAGAATTAAAGGTGATAGCAGGAAGGTATCATGGTTGTGTTAGCCAGTGACCTGTATTGTACCTGATAACTGACCAGGATCTTATTTTAGATCCTGTAACCCCATATGTTTTTTATTCTCTATCATTTTAGCACTGAACATTTAATTGCTGAATTGATTTACATTTTCTGATTTGAATACTTAATGTTCATAAAGCAGAACATAAGGTAAACAAACATAAGCTTGATTCATCACTTGGTTTGGCACAGACACATTGCAGATGGATGACTGTAGCTAAGGAGCTTATAAACTACCAGGTAAGTAAGCAGACTCTGCACTTGGACATGAGAGTGTCACGGAAACAGCAGGGACCCCATTGTATATCCTCATCATACCTCTTTATCTTCTTCAGCCTGGAACAATGCCTTAGTCTTTGTTGTTCATAACTTTAAAATTTTTGAATTTTAAGAACATTTTATTTGGGGGGACATTTATTTTGTAGAATGTCTTTCAATTAGGGTTTGTCTGAGGTTCCTAATTTTTGATAGAAATACGATGGAAATGGTGTTGGTTCTGCCGTGCTGGGTATTGGAAAGTATGTGCTGTCTGCTTGACCCATTCCTTGATGATGCTCTCTTTGGTCTGCCATTAGGGAGTATCTTCTAAGAAAATACTTGGAGCTGCTAAACATCTGGTCTGCCACCAAACTGCCACCCAGTAATTTTATCATCTATTGATGGTTCTTACCTGAATTGTTTATTACTAGGATAGTTTCAAATTATGATTTTCTAATTCCATCATTCTTTCTACGTTAGTTGACAGCTGGTGCAGCATGGAACATTCCCTTCATATTTATTTAGTTTTATCAGTTGAGTATGAACTTACGAATTCCTTATCCCATGGGTCATAGTAAGTTACCATCATATTTATTTTGATCATCAAATCGTCACAGGTCAGCCAGTGTGAACTCTTTTAAGCTTTTTTTTTCTGTCACAGCTGTGTTCTGTCATCTATAAACGACACTTAATAAATTACACATATTTCACTTGTGTAATTTATAACTTTTCAGCATTATGTATATACCCATGAAACCATTATTGCAATTGAAGTAATTGACGTAGTCATCACTCCAGAGTGTTGTCATGCTCTTTGTAATCCGTCCCTCCCAGCAACCACTCTGGTCTGCTTTCTGTCCATTCACAGCAGTTGGCATTTCCAAGAGAACCAAACAGTATATCCTCTCATCGAGCTTCTTCCTCTCTGCATATCAGCAATTCATTCCTCTTTATTACTGAATAGTATTTCATTGTATTAATATATGCAGCTTGTATAGTCCTTCCTTATGGGCATTTGGGTTTTTAGTTTTTGACTATTTCTTAGAAAGCTGCTGTGAGCATTTATGTAGAATTTTTGTGGTTGTGATACTTGCGTTTCTCTTGAGTAAATACCTAACAGCAGAATGGCTGGGCCATCTTATAGATGTGTAGCTTTTGAAGAAGGTCCCACACTGTTTTCCTTAAAGGTTATGCCATTTTATAGTCCCTTCAGCGCAGAAGGATTCTAGTTACTCCACATCCTCGTGCGCGTTCGGTACTATTAGACTTTTCACGTAAGGCATGTTGTGGTATCTTGTGGTTTAATTTATATTTTCCTAATGACTGATGTGCTGAGCAATTTTTTATAAACTTATTTACCATCCACATATTTTTGTGGTAGAATGTTCATATCATTTGCCTATTTTTAATTTTTTTTCAATGTTCATCTATTTTTGAGAGCAACAGAGCATGAGTAGGGAGGGGCAGAGAGAGGGAGACACAATCTGAAACGGGGTCCAGGCTCTGAGCTGTCAGCACAGAACCTGATGCAGGGCTTAGACCCATGAACCATGAGACCATGACCCGAGCCAAAGTCATTTGCTTAACCGACTGAGCCAACCAGGAGCCCCCCATTTGCCCCCCCCCCCTTTTTTTTTAATATTTATTATTTTTGAGACTGAGAGCACATGAGCGGGGGAGGGGCAGAGAGGAGCATAGAGGATCTGAAGCAGGCTCCAGGCTCTGACCTGACAGTAGAGAGCCAGATGTGGGGCTCGAACCCATGAGCCTGAGCCGAAGTTGGATGCTCAAACAACTGAGCCACTCATTTACCTATTTTTAAATGGTGATTTTGTATTATTGTCACTGAATTATAAGAGTTTATATTGTAGATACAAGTTGTTTCTCAGATTTATGTTTAGCAAATGTTTTCCTTTATGTGGCTTGTCTTTTTGTTTTCTTATCAATGTCTTTTGAATAGCAAATATTTTTTATTTTCATGAAGAATAGTTGATTCCTTTAAGGTTTGTGCTATTTGTCCTATATTTAAGAAATCTTTGCCAACCACTATCTTATCCTAGGTTTTCTTTTGAAGGTTGTATAGTCTAAGCTCTTGATGTTTAGGTTTGAGGTCCATTTTGAGTTAATTTTTGTATATGGTGTCAGGAAAGTTCATCTTTTTAACTTACAGCTTTCAAGTTTTTCAGTACCATTTTTTGAAATGATTATCCTTTCCCCATTGAATTTCATTGACACCATTGTAAAAAACAAACAAACAAACAAAAGTTGACCCTATTGTGTAAATGTATTCCTGGACTGTATTCTGTTTTGCTGATTTACTTGTTTTTTGTTTTTGTTTTCATTTTTGTCCATATATGTATGTTTATCTTTGGAGAAAGAGAGCACACACGAGGAGGGGGGGAGGGGAGGGAGGGAGGGGAAGAGAGAGAGAGAGAGAGAGGGAGAGAAAGAGAATCTTAAGCAGACTCCACGCTGAGCATGGAGCCAGAGATCATGACCTGAGCTGGAAATCAAGGGTCTGAAGCTCAACCAACTTAGCTTGTTTACTTGCTTATTTTTATGCTAATGCCACAATGACTTGCTTCCTGTAGCATTATAGTAAGTTTTCATATCAGGTGGTGTAAATCCTCCAACTGTATTCTTCAACATTGTTATGACTATTCTAAGCTCTTTGCATTTCCATATAAATTTCAGAGTCAGCCTCTTAATTTCAAAAAGACTGCTAAAAATTTAATTGGGATTGAGTTAAATCCTATAAATAAATTTGTGAAAAATTGACATCTTAATGATACTGAGTTTTCTGGTCCTTGAACATAATATATCCATATTTTTAGGTTGTCTTTAATTTCTCTCAGCATAGTTGTCTTGATTTCAGTGTGCAGGTCTTGTATGTCTCTTACAAATTTATACCTACATTTTGAAAAATAATTTTGATTGATTAAAATGTTAAATATCCCCATTATTCTTTAAGAACTCTCTTATTTTTTGGCATAATAAGATGTCTCAGAGCAGTCTTGCCTTTTCCCTGCCCCAAGCCTGATATCAGTTATTTCTTCAAGGAGTATTGGTTTCTTTTTGTGGAGACTGATATTTAGAAACCAAGATTTGAATGTTGATGTGCTCATTGCTGCTAGCATCTCACTGCTTCTAGGCTCTTTCCACAAGGAGGGATGGGAAATATATGTATGTGTATTTGTCTGTTTCTCCATATTTAATATACATATATACACAGGTATACGTGGGATATGTGGCATAGACATATACGTACATTCTTACCTATGGACATAGATAAATACACACATACACACACACACCTCATGTGCATATATACACATATACTCTCACATAGAGACAAACGTGTATACAGGCAAACCTCAGAGAAATTGTACATTTGGTTCCACTGCAGTAAAGTGAATATTGCAATAAAACAAGTCAGATGAACTTTTTGGTTTCCTGGTGCCTATAAACGTTGTGTTTATACCATACTGTAGTCTGTGAAGGGTGCAGTAGTAGTATATCTAACGACACAGTGTTCATACCTTAATTAGAGATGCTCTATTGTTGGGGAGCCTGGGTGTCTCAGTCAGTCAAGCGTCTGACTTCAGCTCAGGTCATGATCTCCTGGTTCGTGAGTTCGAGTTCTGCATTGGCCTGTCTGCTGTCAAGCACAGAGCCCACTTTGGATCATCTGTCCCCCTCTCTCTGCCTCTCCCCTGCTCGCTCTCTCCTCTCTCAAAAAATAAATAAACATTAAAAAAAACACTCTACTGTTAAGAAATGCTAACCATCATCTCAGCTTCCAGCGAGCCACGATTTTTTTTGCTGGTGGAGGGTCTTGCTTGATGTTGATGGCTGCTGACCCTACAGGGTGGTGGCAGCTGTGGCCATTTCTGAAAATAAGACAACTGTGACGTTTGCCACGTTGACTGACTCTTCTCTCAAGAACGATTTCTCTGTAGGATGTGATGCTGTTTGGTAGCATTTTACACACAGAACTTCCTTCAAACCCGGAGTCTATCTTGTCACACCCTGTCTGCTGCTCTGTCAGCTAAGTTCGTGTGATATTCTCAATTCTGTGTTGTCATTTTGACACTCTTCACAGCATCGTCACCAGGAGCACACTCCGTCTCAGGAAACCACTTTCTTTGTTCATCCACGGGAAGCAAGTCCCCATCCGTTGGAGTTTTATCCTGAGGTGGCCCAGCTCCCTGCCGTCTTCAGGCCCCCCTTCTGCTTCCGGTTCTCCCGTTGCCACACGTCTGCAGCGACTTCCTCCCCTGGAGTCCTGAACCCCTCAAAGTCCTCCCTGGGGCTGGAACCAGCTTCTTCCCAACTCCTGTTCGTGTTGAATCGTGACCTCTTCCCATGAATCCCCAGTGTTCTTCATGACATCTAGGATGGTGACTCCTTCCCAGGATGTTTTCAGTTTACTCTGCCGAGATCCATCAGAGCAATCGGTGTGTATGGCAGCTATGAGCTCACGAAAGGTGTCTCTTAACTAATGAGACTTGGAGGTCAGAATTACCCCTGGATCCGTGGGCTGCAGAATGGTGGTGGTGTTGGCAGCAGGCGTGAAAGCAACAGTAATCTCATTGCTCGTCTCCATCAGAGCTCTTGGGTGACCAGGTGCAATGTCTTTGAGCAGTAATCTTTTGGAAGGAATCTTTTCTCCTGAGCAGCAGGTCTCAACAGTGGGCTTGAACCAGTCGGTCAGCCGTGTTGTGGACAGATCTGCTGTCCGCCAGGCTTTGTTGTTCCAAGTAAAGAGCACGGGCGGAGGAGATTTTGCGTGATTGCTACGGGCTTAGGATTTTCAGAATGGCCAGTGAGCTTCCACCTGGCTTCCACCTCAAGTCACCAGCTGCATCCGCTCCTGAGCAGAGTCCGCCTGTCCCTGGAGGCCTTGAAGCCAGGCACTGACTTCTCCTCTCCAGCCATGAAAATCCTAGGTGGCATCTTCTTCCGGCAGAAGCCTCTTTCATCTGCATGGAAAGTCTGCTGTTTAGCGTGAGCACCTTCCTGAGTCCTCTCGGCCAGATCTTCTGGATAATTCCGGCAGCTTCTGCGTCAGCACGTGCTGCCTCACCTTGCACTTGGACGTCACAGAGAGAGCTTCTTTCCCCAAACCTCCTGAACCAACCTCTGCTAGCTCCTACCTCTTCTCCTTCCTTACCTCCTCAGCCTTCGCCGGATCGAAGAGCCTGGGCCTTGCTCTGGGCGAGGCTTTGGCTGAAGGGAACGTCGTGGCCGCTTTGATCTCCCATCCAGACCGGCCAGACTTCCTCCATATCAGCAGTCAGGCTGTTTCCCTTGCTTATCACCCGTGTGTCCACTGGAGTGGCGCATGCGTGCAGTGTCCTTCAAGGACTCTTCCTTTGCCTTCACAACTTGGCTACCTGTGTGGCACAAGTGGCCTAGATTTCAGCCTGGCTTGGGTTTCGCCCTGTCTTCCTCACGAAGCTTAATCTTTTCTAGCTTGTGATTGAACGCGAGAGACGCGTGACTCCTCCTTTCACTTGAACGCTTGGGGGCCATTGTGGGGTTCTGAGTGGGCCTAATGTCAGTACTGTTGTGTCTCAGGGAATGGGGAGGCCTGAGGAGGGGGACAGAGATGCAGGGGGGGACAGGTGAGCAGCCAGAACACAACAGTTTATCAGTTAAGTTCACCATCTTATGTGGCTTGGCTCGCGGTGCCTCAGCTTAGCATGGTAACATCAAAGATCACAGATCACCGAAATAAATATAATGATGAACAAGTTTGGAAAAATGGTGCCAAAAGTCTTGTTCCACACACAGTTGCCATAAACCTTCGATTTGTGAAAAATGCAGTGTCTGTGGAGCGCAATGAAGGAGGCGCAGCAGAACAAGGCGTGCCTGTACCTATTTCTGTGTCTGCATACAGACCACGAGTTGGTGCCGATCTCTTGCTTCCAGTCCAACTCCACAGTGTTCACTCTGGGCTTCCCCCACCACGTCTGTAGCACCTTCTCTGACCGAGAAACCTGGCTCTCGTTATCCAGCGTATATACGTCACTCAGTGCTAGGCCTCACATTAAGGAGTTTCATCGCTGTGGACCTGCATCGCCGTGGAAAAGAAACCTGCTTGCTGGAATGTCAATGTTTATCCATTCTGTTTTGTCTATAGCCTGGAGTTAAGGGTTACTTGGGTTAATTTTTCTTTTCACTTTAGTGTGTTACTCATATGAAATGAAATTGTTTCTATTTTTATGCCAGTTTTTTTTTTTATCTTATCCTTGTATATTTTATTTATAAATGTAATTGTTTACCTATATGAACTATAACCTTGTTCAAAGCCAAATCTTCGGGGGCGCCTGGGTGGCTCAGTTGGTTGAGCGTCTGACTCCGGCTCAGGTCATGATCTCACAGTCTGTGGTTTTGAGCCCCGCATTGGGTTCTGTGCTGATAGCTCAGAACCTGGAGCCTGCTTTGGATTCTGTGTCTTCCTCTGTCTCTCTCTCTGTCCCTCTCCCACTTGTGCTCTCTCTCTCTCTCTTTCTCTCTCTCTCTCTCTCTCTTACACACACACACACAAATAAACTTAAGTAAATAAATAAAATCTTACAAAAAAAAAATAAAACCAAATCTACAGAGAAAGTGTATACTTAGAGAAGTTCCACACTCCCGTTCCCCCACCCCACCAACGTCCATCTCTCCCTCCTTGCCACCCCTGGTCCCGTGTGTAACCTGTGGGTAACTAGTTGCCACGATTAAATTACCTTTCTTGAATGTCGTTTCACACAAGTGAGCTGATGCATGTTTATTTTCTTGTGTCTCTTTCTTTCTTGGATGAAAGGCAGCATACTGTAGCTACTCCTTTGCACTTTGGGTTTTCTTGTATAATATATTCTGGAAATCACTTCATGTTAGTTCATAGAGATCTTCCTTGTTTATTTTTACAACTGCATAGTATGCCCTTACGTGGACTTGCCGTACATTATTCAACCTCCCTTCAGTGTTTGGGCAGTTAGATTGTTGCCAGAGTTTTGTGTTTGCAGGCAGTGTTCCAGTGATGTTTGCATATGTATTTTCTCCCTCGTGGAGGTGTATCTCTAGGGTGAATTCCTAGAAGTTGATTGCTACGTCACAAAGTAAGTGCATACCGGCCTTGTTAGATATTGCCAAAGTCCTGTCCAAAAGCATGGTACTTACTTGTATTTCTGCCAGCAGTGTATGAGGGTCTCTGACACCCCAAGGCCTTGCCAATGGATTATATTGGTTTAGTGTCACAGTTTTAATTTTTGTCCATCAGATAGGTTAAAAATCTTTGTGTCTCAATATAATTTAAACTTACATTTCTGTATGTGTGAGATTGAACGTCTTCTCATGTTTAAGGGCCATTTTTATATCACTTTGTGAGTTGCCTATTCATTTTCTGGTTTTACCAATGGATTTTTTGCCATTTTCTTTTTTCTGGCTTTTTATATGTTCTTTATAAATTAGAGATATTAACTTTTTTTTCTATTTTTCTCATTTTTCAGTTGTGCTTGACTTCATTTATGATGCTGTTTCCCATGGAAAAGTTTCATTTCATGGGATCAAATTTATTGATCTTTTCTGTTATTTTCTCTGGATTATGAGGCATCGCACACACAGTTTATCTTCCAGTATTTACATCATTTCACTTTTTACGTTTTGACCCTAATTTATTTGGAGGGGTTTATTTTTCTGTGAAAAGTGTGGATCTAACAGTATCCCTTTTCCATTGACTATTCAGTTGTCCAACAACATATTTTATTTATTTTTAAAGTTTTTTTAAGTTTTTATTTAAATTCCAGTCAGTTAACATACAGTGTGATATTACATTCAGGGTTCAACACCATTTTTAAAAAATACCATCTGTAGGGCTCCTGGCTGGCTCAGTCGGTGGAACGTGTGACTCTTGTTCTCAGGGTTGTAAATTTGAGCCCCATGATGGGTAGAGATTAAAAATAAAATCTTTAAAAATACCATCTTTGGTTCAGAAGTGATTTAAGATGCCTTATTTATTATATACTAAGTTTCTACATGTGTTTCTGTTTTTCCGAATTTTGTATGCTATTCACATACCAGTATTACACGTATTTAAGTATAGAGACATTGAAGTATATTCTAATGTAGTATGTCTGGTTTCTGCAGATACCTGCCATTTTTCAGTGATTCCCTGAAACCTGATTCCATGCAGGTTTGATTTTTCTACATGAACTTGAGAATCCTCCTTACCAGCTCTTTAAAGCAGTTTATTGTTACAAATTTAGGAAGAGCTGACATCTTTACGATGCTGAGTCATCCTATCCAAGGGCAAGGGATGTCTTACTAATTAGTGTGTGATTTTATTTCATGTTGTCTTGTGAAATGTCCTGTGAAATGCTGTTCCATGATAGAACAAAAATAAACCAAATAGATAGGAGTTATTGAGGAGGACTGTGTTATTTTATACATTTTCTGTTGTTTTAATTAAAATGTATATTACAGTTATTCATGTATAAGCCATCTTTATGTCTTCTGTGAGTTTCTTGAAGTTAAGAATTACATTTTATTTCCCTTACTCCCAGGCTGTACATAGTATTTGTAAATAGTTGATGTTAAATAACTGTTTCTTGAAGGGATTTTATATAGACAGAAGCACACTCTGTAGAGGCTAAACTTGTACTTTGTTTATTCTTGAATGTTCCTGTTCCATGTTTGTCATTCAAAATGTGGGAGGGCCAAGGGATACAGGAGTACTGATGCATAGGGGCACTTGTACCCCAATGTGTATAGCAGCACTCTCAACAATAGCCAAATTATGGAAAGAGCCTAAATGTCCATCAACTGATGAATGGATAAAGAAATTGTGGTTTATATACACAATGGAGTACTACATGGCAATGAGAAAGAACGAAATATGGCCCTTTGTAGCAACGTGGATGGAACTGGAGAGTGTGATGCTAAGTGAAATAAGCTATACAGAGAAATACAGATACCATATGGTTTCACTCTTATGTGGATCCTGAGAAACTTAACAGAAACCCATGGGAGAGGGGAAGGGAAAAAAAAAAAAAAAAAAGAGGTTAGAGTGGGAGAGAGCCAAAGCATAGGAGACTCTTAAAAACTGAGAACAAACTGAGGGTTGATGGGGGGTGGGAGGGAGGGGAGGGTGGGTGATGGGTATTGAGGAGGGCACCTTTTGGGATGAGCACTGGGTGTGGTATGGAAACCAATTTGACAATAAATTTCATATATTGAAAAAAAAACAAAATGTGGGATGGCAAATGATGTGCACTCCCAACATACCAGCTGACGTTATCACTGGAGATAAAATTCCACTGTTTGAATTTACTGTATCCTAAGGCCATTTTTTACTACTCTAAGGAATAAAGTTCCATAATAACCTATTTATGACTGTTCTTTGTGAGACACGAGATGACATGGTATGCATACTTACCGTCACTTTCTTTTTTGGGGGATGGTGGTGTTACACTCTCATCTTTTTGTAACTGAACACTTTTCCCATCGGGTAATATCACAGTTTCTTTTTCCTATTTGAAAAATAAAAATTTGTTATCAGGTGTGATAAAGTCTGATTTTGACTATAAAACTGAGAGTCATAGGCAACACCTGCCTTCTCATGGTCATAGTGGCATTTCTTTTGTGCTACAGTAAGATTTTGTGTATTGTTCATTAAACTTATAAGGTAAATATTTGTTTAACCTTGTTTGTACTCCAGACTGTCAACTCCTTGAGTAAAAGAACCAGGTCTTTTTAATTTTTTTTTATCTCCAAAACCCTATCTCAGTGCCTTTGCCTTCTATATGTTGAATATATTGAAATTCCAAATGGGAGCTGGAGGGAACTCTCCAACACAGAATGAAAGTTTTTCTGAGTTGCAGCCTGAAATGAGACCATCTTCATGTAGGGTAGGTCTCTTAATTATTCTTTATGGTCTTGTCTTTTTCTTTCTTTCTTTTTCTTTCTTTCTTTCTTTCTTTCTTTCTTTCTTTCTTTCTTTCTTTCTTTCTTTCT